TTTATTGTACAATTATTTGTTCATTTACAAGCTTTTTCCAACTATTCAGTTTATCGCACCTTATCATCTCCTCTGCAGATAAGTTGAATGAGTTGCACATGACTTCATGAGTCAGAAGTTTTAATAAATAGCGTGTGGATAGTGGCAGATGTCACCACTTCCCTGTGTGGACATAAATTCAATTGTATGAGCAATTGTGGTCTTCCTTTTCCTTTGAAAATGATATGTTCTAGCTGGACGACAGGTTCTATGAATGTCAATTAGGTCAAATTAGGAAAATGTAGTTCAACATCTTTAGTTTTTTACTTTTACTATTAATTATTTTTTAAGTGTTTAAATGAATTGTGAATTTGTCTTTTTCCCCAAAAGTTCTGTCTATTTTTGCATCATGTGCTTTGAAGAACTTCCAATGGGCACATAAATATTTAGATTGGTTTGTGTTCTTTTGATAAATTTATTTCCTCATCATTATAAAATGATCATTGTTACACTTAGCAACACTCTGTGCACTAAAATCTACTTTGTCGGCTATAAATATTTCAACTTCCTTTTTATTAGTGTTAGCATGATAAAATAATTATATCAATTTAAATTTTAAGTATTTGAAACTTTATACTTAAAGAATATCACTTATACATTGCATGTATTTAAGTCTTTCTTTTAAATTCAAATCTGACATTCCCAGTCTTTTATTGGGTTGATTAGTTCAATTATGTTTTGTGACTATTGATATTGTTGACTTTAAATTTACTGTCATGCTATTTTTTTCTATTTATGTTGTCTATACTTGTCCTCCTTTTCTCCTAGTTTTCTGTTTACTTCAAGATTAATTTAGTACTTTTGTTCTTCTATTTCTTTTATTTTATATCACTTATTAGGTAGTGTTCCTCTTTATTGTTATGTAGTATTAATTGATTAAAGCCTATGTTTGCTTGTTTGTTTGGGGGGGCTGTTAAGCCATATCTTCTCCACCAGGAGTCTTTTGGCAATGTTTCAAGGCACACTGAATTGTGTAACTAGTGGGTGAACTCAAGGGATCCTGCTAAAAATCCTACAGTGCAGAAGAGGGCAATCTCTTACAATATAGAATTAATTATCCAAAAATAACAACAGTGTCAAAGCTGAGAAAACCTGCTTAAGATTTTATAGGATATGTCTTTAACTTGTCGCAGTCTGCCTTTAAGTGATTGTATACTACTTCTCACATAGCATAAGAACTATGGCATAATTTATTTCCAGTTCTTCCTGAGAAGGGTTTGCTACAACTTTGCCATGCATTACACTCCTAGATTATGACCATATAAGACATTGTTATTACTCTTGTTTTTAAATATTATTATTATTATTATTATTTTTAATCCAGTCCAGCTTCAATGGACAGCATGGTTAGTTCTATGTTTTTGCTGTTGTGAATGCAACTGCAACAAACATTCATGTACAGGTATCTCTTTTGTAGAATATTTGAGTTCCTCCAGGTATATTCCCAACAGGAAAATTGCTGGATTATATGAAAGGCCAATTTCTAGTTCTTGCAGAAATCTCCACACTGTCTTCCAAAGAGGTTGCACTAGTTTGATTTCCCACCAGCAGTGCAGAAGTGTTCCTTTTTCTCCACATCCTCGCCAGCATCTGTTGTTTTATTAATGATGGCCATTCTTACTGGGGTTAGGTGATACCTCAGTGTGGTTTTGATTTGCATTTCTCTGATGATGAGTGAGGCTTTGCACTTTTTCATGTGTCTGTTGGCTGCCTGTATATCTTCCTTTGAGAAGTGTCTATTCATGTCTTTTGCCCACTTTTTAATGGAGCTATTTGTTTTTTCCTTTCAGCACACTTGAGTTCCTTGTAAATCCTAGATGTTAGACCTTTGTCAGATATACATTGGCAAATATCTTTTTTCCCCATTCTGTGGGTTGTCTCCCTGCTCTCTTGATGGTTTTTTTTGTTTTGCAGAAGCTCATTAGTTTGAAGAGGACCCACTTGTCTATCTTATTTCTTATGGTATGGACACTTAGGGTTCTGATCAGGAATTGGTTGCCAGTGCCAATTTCCATAAGGGTGTCTCCTGCATTTTCTAAGATTCTTATAGTTTGAAGTTAATTTTTGTGTATGGTGATAGGTAGGGGTCCTGTTTCAATCTTCCGCTTGTGATCAGCAAGTTTTCCCAGCACCATTTACTGAATAGGTTCTCCTCTCCCCAGTGGTTGTTGCGGGCTTTGTCAAAGGTGAGTTGGTTGAGAAATTGAAACTTTGCTTCCAGAATCTCTATCTTGATGGACTGGATAAAAAAATGTGGTACACATACACAATGGAATATTATACAGTCATAAAGAAGCACAAACATATGGTCATTGCAGCAACTTGGATGGATTTAGAGTAAATCTTACTCAGTGATCTATTACAGAAACAAAGAACAGAGTACCATATATTCTTATTCATCAAGGGACCTTGAACAATTATCATAGCACTGTAAATAAGGGTTTGGTAGTAGTTGGAAACTGCTGGGGGCAGGAGGGTTGGCAGTTGAAAGAAACTGCTAGGGGAAGAAGAGGCATACCTCATCAACACGAGTACCTGCATAATCAGTGTTTGTATACTTAACCCTGAATTGTACCCCACATCCTTAAAATTAAAAAAAGAGAAAAATTGTCTTTCAATCATAATTAAATAAGAAAAATTGTATTTATCTATGTAGTTACTACCTCCAGAGCTTTTCACTCACTTGTGTGACTCCAAATTTTTAATTGCCATAATTTTTATGTTGATTAAAGACTTCTTTCTGCACAGTTTCTGAAGGAAAATATTTCAGTTTTTCTAGATGTGTTAATGTTTACTTGTCCTTTGGTTTTTAAAGATATATTTGCTGGTTGCAAAATTCTGTATTGAGAGATTTTTGTTGTTGTTTTCTTCAGTTACTCAGTGACACTATCTCATTGTCTTTTCAGTTGCATCGTCTCCAAAAAGAATCCTTCTGTTTTATTTTTGTTATTCTGCATTTAACATGTTCTTTTACTCTCTGCCTATATTTTAGTTTTTCCATTTAGCTTTCATTTTAAGTAGTTTTATTATGATGTGCAATGACTTCTCTCATTTAATATATTTTGTGCATTGAGTTCATAGAACTAGTTGACACTGTTTTAATGAATTTTATCAAACTTGAAATTTGTTAATCATTATTTCTTCAAGTTGTCTTCTGCCTCAAATAAACCCCCATTATATTGGGAATCCAATTACAGGCATATTAGTTCACTTAAAGTTATTCTACCCTTCACTGATACCCTCAAATCATCTTTTTTGAGTTTTGTTTCTTTGGATTGTACTTTGGTTACTTTCTATTGGTATATCTTCAAGCAAACTAATAATTTCTTCCACAATGTCTCATCTGTTTTTAGTCCCATCCACTGTATTTTATTGTATCAGTTAGAGTAACTTTCACATTAGAAGTTCAATTTGAGTTCTCTAAAATTTTTGTCTATTTTTAACATAATTTTTTTCAAGTTTCTAGAATATATAAAACATAGTTACTAGAACTATTTGTATGTCTTTTCTACTTATATTATTTGTGTAATATTAGGGTCAGTTGAATGGACTTATTTCTTCTCCTTATAAGTCACATGTTTCTGCTTCTTTTTATACCAAGTAGTTAATTCTCAGAAACCAGGCATTGTAAATATCACTATATTGGATACTGTACATTGTCAAATTCCTGCAAATATTCGTGATACTCGGTGTGTTATATTTCAAGTTTCCTAAGAAAAGTTTGTTCATTTCAAATCTTAATTTTAAGATTTCTGATGTGGGAATAGAGTGATGCTTACTCAATAGCTTAAATATTGACTGAGGAAAAAACCTTTTCTAATAGAGTACCCACAGGACATGAAATCTCATAATCCTGTCTCAACAAATGTGAGGTTTTTCTCATATTGGATAAGAATATCCCTATGTGTGCTTCTGGGTTTGTTCTCCCTAAATCTTGGTTTGGTTCTTTTCTCAGTATAATGCTTTTTTTTTCCCCCTACATGAAAACCTCTGTCGGATATCAGTTTTAGTTCATGGGGCCATATGTAGAACCTTTTATCTCCACGTAACTGTAACTTTCTTCAGTCTTGCTCTCTGTCCTGTTGACTCTGGAAAAGAGTCTTTAGTCTACCTGGGCATCCAACCTTGTTCCCTAATCTGTGAGACTTCTGGGCTATGCCTAGTTCCCTTTCTTTTTGCAGCTACCTGAAAAACTTTTCAACACTGTCTACTGGAATAATTATACGCTCAGCTCATTTTGTTGGCCAAGGTCCTCTGTCTTGAAAAACATTTTGTTACACATTATATTTTGCTCATCTCCCTCCCTGCCCTCCAGGGAGGAGAAACTCAATTCTTTAGATTTACCAAAAGTGAAAGTGAAAATGGAAGTGTCCAATATCGAGATTATTAAATCTACCACTATTTCCCAGAAGCATCCAACAAGATTTCTCTTCAGTATTTTATAGGTCTGCTATCCTGTTCTGAATTTATGGCAACTGCACAACTTCCATAAAGAAGAAGAAAAGTAAAGGCAGTTTTTAGGGTGCACTGCTTGAATATAAATTATTTACTGTGGAGGCAATATTTGTTAAAATCTACAAAGGTCAACAAAAAATTAGGTGTTTTCTTGCTCTGGCAGCACCAATAATTAATACAGTTATTAATATCATTTAATATTGTAGGTATATTTATAAAGCATATACTATATTGTATTATAAATTTTATAGTATCTTATTATAACTACTAGTATATTATTAGTATTATATTATTATATAGTATCAACAACTCTTAATTAATTATTAATATTAGCAATACTAGAAGCGTTGCAACAGTATAGGGAAACTTCAGTCAAGAAATATCCAAATATGGAGACCTCTGGAAGAAAACATTCTAGGAAATCTGGGAAGCTATCAAGGGAGGATAAGATTATAAGAGACTATGCCTTTAATGCTGAAGATAAAAAAGATCTCTGTGCTTCATAGGAAGATATTCCAGACAGAAAGACTTCAGTAATTGATAAGCACGTGAGGAAAAGGACTTCTGCAGGAATAGTTGAAGACATGGCAGGTACAGCACAGAATATACTGTAAAGATTTGGAGCTTACGTCAACCAAGAAAAACAGATTAGAAATGTACACCAAGGCTTCTATCAAAACCAGTAACAAGAAATTGAATATCTTTGGAATACACTAAAGCAAAGGCAGAAGCTTACCAAGAATATTTTCATCAGTTTCTGACTTTGTTTCAGCAGTGGGATACAGATAAACAGAAAACTCAGAAGCAGAAAGAAAAACTAATATATTTTGATGGCAACAAAATATCTTTCAACAATCTAGAATTGTGTAGAGCCAGAGACTGAAAACACAATTGTTTAAGATAAGATAGCTTTACGACTGTTTATTAAAGACATAAAGAAGTTGGAAAAGAATCATGATAATCTACTTATTGGCACATAAGATGAACTTAAAAAAGAAATGACTGTGTTACAAAAAATAATAACGGAAATTCAGCAGCAAGAAATGGCAATTGTTCAAAAGTCTCTTCATTCTATGTTATTCTGATGACTCTTTGGGAAAAGAACTTGATCCTAAGTAATATGATACAATTATAACATTAACTAAAAGGCATGTTATAAGTTTTTAGAGTGGATTAGAAATTTTAGCTTAAATTATAGCATCTTTAGTCTTTAGCATGTTTCAGTGCAAGACTTCCCTTGGTGTTAATTTCCAAGTAAAATCTAAACATCAATGTGAGTAGCAGCTATTCCTAGATAAGTATCAAACTTTCAGCTTTCTAGTGGTAATAGTGAATTTTCTAGCACTGACAATTAACTTTTGGCAATAAAAAGGATTTAATTTTTTAAAATACTTAATAGTCATTAATTTTATATTATAATATTATTATTATATTACTCCTGATATTACATTATTAGTATTATTTTTATAATAGTATAACTAACAATATAGACACTTGAAATCTGAAAAAAATAAATTACTCATATTTCCATTCAAACTTTAACTTAAATATCAAACTAGATATTTTTATTTTCTAATTTTAATTAACATTTGCATTCACTCAGAGAAGAACCTACTAATTTCAAATTTTGTTTGTATGTTTTACCTCCAAGCTTGAGGTATTTTTATTTCTTTAGGTAACTCCTCATTTGAATGTGTCTCTTATAGCATGAATTTTTTTCTTTCCATCTCTCAGAGACAGATATTGTCCTACTGAATCCATTTTGATATTCTCCTTTATTAGATTCCTCTTACTACTGCAAGAAATTATCACATACACTTGGGCTTAAAATAACAAATATATTATCACAGACTTTTGTATAGCTCAGAAATCCAAAATGGGTATCACTTGACTGAAATAAAAATGTTGACAAACTGCATTCCTCCTGAAGTCTCCATGGAAGAATCAATTTTCTTGACATTTTAGAGTTTCTAGAAATGGCATGGATCTCTTGGTTAGTGGCCTCCCTCCTTCTTCTAAGTGATTATTTCTTATGCACCACTCCTGCAGCCTCTTCTAAGGAACTTGGTTAGGTAGTGGGCTTATTATAATAATTCAGAATAACTTCTATATCTCATGGTCAGCTGACTTGACATTAATTTACCTTTGCCATGCCCATGGGGATAGGAATGTAAGTATCTTTAAGGGGCCATTATTCTGGGTACCATGTTATGGCCATTTCTCTAATTCCAGCTTGGCTAGGTTTGGGTTAAATCCACAAAGGAATAAAAAGACTTAAAAATCTAGCTAGAGGTTAGCTGTTTGCTATTTTCCTTTATTCCATATAAGGTAGATACTATTTTCAACTTTTCTCTCGGACTCCAAGTGCCAGAGTTACTGATATTCTGTTGATTACTCAAATAATATACTTTTTTCTCTTCAACATATATTTAAAATTTAGTACATATATGTTTATAAATAAAAGAGATTACCCTTAGAAAATCTAACCTCTACTTCCTCAGTTGAGACAGTATAAAAGTTTCAACTTTGGTTACAACAATATTCTCAACGTATTTAGTTCATCAATTATGTATTGAATGATATCCTCTCAAAATGTATATGTTGAAGTCTCAGGATGTGACTGAGTTTGAAGATAGGGTAATTAAGCAGGCAATTAAAGTTTAATCAGGTAATTAGAGTGTACCCTAGTCCAATATAACTGATGACCTTTTAAGAAGAGGAAGCTAGGATATAGATGAAGAAATAAAACCATAGGAAAACTCCAGAGGAAGACGCCCATCTCAAAGATAGAGAGAAAAGCCTTTAAAGAAATCAATCCAACCAACACTTTGGTCTTAGATTTCTAGCTTTCAGAATTGTGAAAAGATATATTTAAGTTGTTTATACTATCCAATCTGTGGAACCTTGTTTTGCCAGCCCTAACAGACTAATACACCAAGTCTATATTTTCCCCCAAAATTAAAACTTGGATAAAGTCTGGGTTTAATGTCAGCTTTTCTTTATCTCAGTTAATAAGAGCATATTTAACTAAAGAAAATAATACTTGATTCAGTTATTTAACATTTTTATTGTATTCCCTTTAACAATGCATTGTATTTTAACTCCGAGGCTGCATGTTCTACGAAGAGGATGATTCTTGGATTCCCTGCATCCAAGCACATTTTCTGTTTAACTATTTTGTGCAAAAAAGACTAAAGGAACAGTATTCACAATAAATCAGATTTTTTACTTACTGTTTAAAAACTGTTTGGAAAATCATATCAATTTGTGTAGGTACCACTTGCATTTAACATATTTTGCACAGCTTAATCGTTATGCTACATATTACATGTTTAACATGTTAATATGACACATTTTTATAATTTTGTAATAATGTCACTATTTCATACAATCATCATGTTAAAATATATTTAAGATATGCCCTAAATTTTGTTAGTAATGTATTAGCCTAAGGAATTAGTTGTACCACAATTTGTACTACTGTAGAAAAACCCACCTCTATATTTTTTAGAATTCATCCAAAACATTATGTCAAATATAATACTCAACTTTCAGAGCTGTTATAAGTCCAAGCAACTCAACATAGGTCATGCACCTCACAAAGCACCTGATACCTGGTACTCAATCAATCATATTAATCATTAACATGATAATAATCATTCTCTTCAACATAATTATAAGTGCAAACATTTATGGTTTTTATTTCATCTAAATTTAAAAATCAGACTCATTTTCAATCTTATAATTTATTTTTCTCATGTTCTTTGTGTAATAAGTTCATTAAGATTCTTCACAGTTTATTTTACAAACACATGTAAATCTAATTTTACTTATTTAAAAAGATGGTAAATGCTATAACTTATTTTTGGACACTTTTAATTTTGATTATTTGAATAATTATGCATATATTGTAAAAATAACTGTCTATCCTTACTGGATAGTAAAAACAATGCAGTGCTTTATGTAATACATGTAAAGAACTGACAGATTTAATTTTCCAAATGGAGCCATCGATGTCACCTAGACACTGGAACAGACTTATCTCTATGTAGAAGTAAAATGTGAATCCTGAAGCCTGATGAGGGGCTGGTACTCACTTGAAAATTGTCTTACATAAAGTATTGTTGCCACCATTTTATATTTTTGAGGGAGTAAAATGTAAAGAAAATATTTTCAGGGTTACATGGAGTTCAAGTCTTCCTGTGGGTGTAAACAGCTTAAAGAAAAAAAGAAAAATGGAATTAACATTTTGTATTCTTATAATTCCTATAATTAGATAATAAATATTTTTCATTTTTATTATTTCTGTTTTAAAGTTGGAATAACATGTATTCTTTTTGCTTTTTATGATATAAGTGATATGAATAGACATAGGAAGAAATAAAAATTATGCTTCCAATATCTCAAAATGATAATTATTTTGTCTAGATAAAATTCTCAGCTTAATAATAATTTTAATTAGAAAAGTCTCCTGTAAGAAAAAGTCAATTATCAAGTAATTTCAAATATAACTACTCTATTATCTCATTCTTAAAACTTCTATTCACATTTTTGTTTTTTAAATATTTTTTCTTCTTTTTAAAAGTTAAATTCAGTTCTGGCAAGAATTTTATACATGGTTGTACAGAGCATTCAAGAAGTGTTTATAGGTATAAGGTGTATAACAACAAAATTTACTCTCTGTCTTGATATTGGGATTGCAACCTCTGTTCTGTTGTAATGTTACCTACTTCTGTTCTGCTGTAATGTGTTATCTATTTGTGTGTTCCTGAAGAACACGAGTTGGGGAAAGTTTCAAACTAATCTTAAATAATTTTGTTACTAAAATTCTTTTACTAGGTCTCATGAGTCACTCTGTTAAATTAATCCTGGGAAAACCATCATTCAGGATACAAATGAGTTATTTATGCATATCAAAAAACTCAAAAATTACTAAAGATTTCAAACTCTTAAAAAAACCAAATACAATCTCATATTTCAAACTGATGACACTATAGTTAATTCTATTTTCTGTCAGGCACAAATATTTTTAATATTTGTGCCTGACAGAAAATAGAAATCATTAAAATGCATCTTTTTGAGAATGTGGTAAGGCTATGTGGTGACTAACTCTTTCCCTTAAAGGCAAAAACAAAGGACATTCTTTAGATGTCATTGTCACATGGGAGCAGATATAGTTTTAAACACAATGCACAGTAATTTGCAGATGGATTTATATTACTTTCCTTTAAAATGGTTGGGAAATTACTTTACTTGTTAATAGAATTAACTATCACTGTGAATTAATAGAATTAATAGAAGTAACTAACACTGAGTTATGCTTTCATAATTAAATAAGCTATAGTACATGTTACAAGAGTTTAGATATACATATTAAGTTTCATTGTGTGTGTGTGTGTGTGTAGGGGGTTGGGGCTCAGTAATTAATACAAACATTGCTAGATATGTGTCAAAATTAATTCAGATTGTTCAACAGTAATACCCTTTCTAAATATCAGAAGCAGTGACCCAACCTCATTCTATAAGTGTATTGCATAACTGCACTTAATAACAATTAATTGTAATGCAATGCAAACTAGTTTGAAAACAGT